TCCGTCAAAAATCACGGAAAAATATCGGAAATTCTTTTGACCCTTTAATTTTTTGCATTGGTTTATACAGGGTGTCCCTGAAAAGGATGGGCAACGCTTGACCACAGGTTCCTTGGATGAAAACAAGACTATTTAGCCTAATTTACCTATATACAAAAGCGCACGCCTACTGAGATATGGCCTTCTAAATATAGAACAGATAAGCTAGTTTTTTTCAAATAATTTGAAAACTGTTTTTCTTAGAAACTTCAAATTTGGCACACATATTTTTTTTATATAAGGGCAATGTAAATATAGAATTTGGTGAGAATACATATACAGGATGTTCTCTTTCTAGTGCCTGTGCGCCACTGGCTATCCCGTAACTTTCTTGTATGTACGCCAATGAGGACAGAATTTATATTTTTAAAAATAAGCACTATTTTAGAAGATTTTTTGCTCCTTACAAAATTTTGATATCGTTTATGGATTTCGAGTAAAATTGGCATTTTTTACACATTAAATAAAATCAGTTTAAGATAAATAGAACATTCTAGTACGAGGTGCCATATAACAGAGAAACAAATTCATAACAATAATTAAAAGGTTCTGTGTCAAGCTAGCTGTGATTTAATTTTAGCTTACATTGTTTTTTATTGCAAGTTATACTTTTGCTGAACAAACTGATATTTTAGTAGTTTTGGGATATTGTAAGGAAATTGTTGTGCTACTGTTCGAATATATGCTGAAAGATTTCCTAATCGAAGAACTCCAAATCACAAAACATTTTCTAATGCGGAGAGACGCCTTCGGGAAACAGGACGTTTTTTACCCGTAACATTAAATCGTGGACAATGTATGGCCGGAATTATTCAGCTGGAGGAACAAATTTTGGAAAGGGTCGAAGAAATTCCTCAAGTAAATAAAAGGCATTTAGCGGCAGAGGTTGGCTTTCAAAAAGTTCCTTTAATATCGAAATTTTGTAGGAGCAAAAAAATCTTCTAAAATAGTGCTTATTTTAAAAAATATAAATTCTGTCGTCATTGGAATACACACAAAAAAGTTACGGGATAGCCAGTGGCGCACAGGCACTAGAAATAGAACATCCTGTATATGTATTCTCTCCAAATTCTATATTTACCTTGCCCTTATATAAAAAAATATGTATACCAAATTTGAAGTTTCTAAGAAAAATAGTTTCCAAATTATTTGAAAAAAATAGGTTATCTATTCTATATTTAGAAGGCTATATCTCAGTAGGCGTGCACTTTTGTATATAGGTAAGTTAGGCTAAATAGTCTTATTTTCATCCAAGGAACCTGTAATCAAGCGTTTTCCATCCTTTTCAGGGACACCCTGTATAAAGTCCCCTGGGATTAAAATATATCCTTCGTCTCGATCGCGCCCCTGCGTCGTTCTCCAACGACCCGCGGATTCAATTCCGTCGGATTTCGCGCCACCAATAAATTTTTCATCAGTTTAAAGTGGGCCATCAATAATTCGCGTCGCTATGCGACGCCAATTTTCATTATTGCATTCCGGGGTATTTTTATGCCTGCGCTTTTTCCGCGCTCTTCCGAGGAAAAGCCCCGCGGCTTTTGTTTGAGGGTTGACTGCCAGTGCCGATCCGTTTTTACAGTTTAATTGCGATTTAACTTCGTCGCCCGATGATTGGATGACTTAATCCGCCCTTAATATTCATGGAAAGTTGAAGGGAACTCCAAACCGACTAAAAAAGACGTCTTGTCGCGTTTCGGTTTGGGTATCGTCAGCGCAATGAGTTATATTAATTAAATTCAGAAATGTTTAACTTGTCTTTCAAAAATACTCTTTTTCTCGGTGTATTTGGGGCAATATTATCAATCAGGTACGAGCGGAGGGTGGATATGTAACAGTCACCCTTGTGCTATGATTAATATCCGAAGAATACCTCGAGAGAAGCGGAAACGTTAGACAAGGGAACACATATGAACGTATGTGACCACTAGAAGTGTCAATGGGGAGAAAAAGAACTGGAGCCCTTAATAGCGTCATTGTGGGATTGATGGCGTAGATGTAAGGGAATGTTTCTTCGATATAATCGAAGGGGGATGTACAATCGATGTCCCAAGGGAAAAGTCGTAGTTTTATTAAAGTTACATCAACATTCGCTTTGTTTGAGATGTTCCAATGGAGGAAAAACAAATTTCCACGAAAAGTAAATGCTTTGTTCGTGCGGTTATTTAAAGATATTAGTTTGTCATCCTGGAAAAAAATGATATTTTCAGTTTAACAAATTCAAATTCACAAAATTCTAGTTTTTTTTTCGACACCCTAAAAGTTATTTTGGATACTTTAAAACAGGGATGCACATACCGCGGCCCATGGGCCGCATGCGGCCCTCTGTCGATGTTTATGCGGCCCGCCAACGAATTTTAAAAGTATTCTACTCGCCGCGTTCTGGTCCAAGCATATTATTACGAGAATAGAAATCTGTCGCATTAACTAGATTACAAATTCGCGAAACACGTCGATCCCCGAACAAAGTGGATGGTTCCCGATGTTTAGTAACTCGTATAAATACGACGCATCGCCGGCTACCGGGGCAGTTAAGTTTTGACTACGGATAAGCGAACGTTATACTGTTTGAGAACTGTAATCTGTGACGAGTAAATATTTCGTCGTTCGAACTTGGCTTTTACCGACTGTAACATATAATATTAATTTTGATATGGATAAACCAGGCCCCAGTAAGAAACGTAGTCGTAAGGTTGAAGATGAAAATCGACAGTTTCATGATATTTGGACCGAAAAATACTTTTTTATTTCATCGCATAACAAAATTGTCTGTTTAATATGCAAGAGTAGTGTTTCTATTCCGAAGGAATATAATGTGAAAAGGCACTATGAAACCCAGCATCCAACTTTTACCAAATTAACTGGCGAAAATCGAACGCAAAGAATTTCCACTTTACAACGGGAACTAATAGGCCAGCAATCTATGTTTACAAAACCAATTCAAGATGCTGAAACAGCCACTGAAGTTAGCTTTGAAATATCTCGAATAATAGCGAAAACTTGTCGGCCTTTTAAAGATGGTGAGTTTGTTAAGCAATGTTTGGATATCGCCGCAAAAAAAATTTGTCCGGAAAATGTAAAGAAGTTTGAAAAAATTCAGTTAAATCGGATGACTGTTCAAAGAAGAATTACCGCATTAGCAGATAATATAGAAGAGCAATTAGCTACGAAATCGAGAAGTTTTGAGTATTTTTCTATAGCGCTCGACGAATCTACAGATATAAGTTCAACTGCTCAACTATTAATATTTTTACGAGGTGTAACGCAAAATTTTGAAGTGAGTGAAGAACTGATTGGTATGAGTTCTTTGACAAGTCAAACCAGGGGAAGTGACATGCTCAAAGCTCTTCTAGAAAAATGTTCTATAATGGATTTGGATTTAACGAAAATATCTGGAATTACAACTGACGGAGCACCTTCAATGGTTGGAAGTACATCTGGGATAGTAACTCTGTTAAAAACATATTTACAAACTAAAAACATAAATACCAAGGAATTAATGCAGTTTCATTGTATTATACATCAAGAGGCCCTCTGTTCAAAATTATTGGGATTTGAAAATGTTATGAAAGTTGTAGTACCTACCGTAAACTTTATAAAATCACGAGGTCTCAATCACCGACAATTCAAACAATTTCTCGAGGATATTGAAAGCGAATATGGTGATCTCCTGTTTTACACTGAAGTAAGGTGGCTAAGTCGTGGGTTGACACTACAGCGATTTCTTAACTTGATTGAAGAAATCCAACTATTTCTGGCGGAAAAGAAAAACGACGTCCCCGAACTCGACAACCCTGATTGGCTGTGTGACTTAGCGTTTCTTGTAGACATCACAAATCACTTGAATGTCTTAAATACGCGACTCCAAGGCAAAGATCAATTGATTTCGCAGCTATACTCTCATGTTTCGTCCTTTCAATGCAAATTGAGTCTTTTCAGGACACAAATCAATTCAGCCAATTACGGCCATTTTCCGAACTACAAAAAAATTATGGAGAAGTTCAATAAAACTGACGTCAATTTCGCTCATGTTGAAAAAATTGATATTTTGATACAAGCTTTTGAAAATCGTTTTGTAGACTTCAAAAAAGTTAAACCGCTATTGGACATTTTCAGCAATCCTTTCAACATTTCACCCGAAAATGCGCCGGAATTAATGCAGCTGGAATTAATAGACATGCAAAATGATGATAATTTAAGAAACAAATTTAATGAAGGTAATTTACTCAACTTCTACCGTTGCGTTGATAAAAACGCTTATAAAGAGTTGCGAATAAATGCATTGAAATGCGCAAGCTTATTTGGATCGACGTATATTTGTGAACAAACGTTTTCAGTGATGAAACTTAACAAAACGAAAAACCGAAACCGTCTGGCAAATGAAAATTTGGAAGCAATTATACGTGTGGCTACAAGTAATGTGGAGCCAAATATAAAAAAACTTGTTAGTTCAATGCAATGTCATGCATCAAAATAATAAAACATGAAATATTACATTGTAATGATTACATAATTATTACAACAAACATTTTTTAAGGTTATTTTATTTTTATCATTGTATTTCAGACTATTTAAAAATAAAAAAATTTGTGTTAATAAATATTGTTTGTAGTGGCCCGTCCTTGGCTTATATTTTTCCCGAGTGGCCCCTGTTCCCTATAAGTCTGTGCATCCCTGTTTTAAAATATTGTGGGCTTTTTTTCTCGCGTTATAGAAATCCAGGTCCAAAAAGAACCGTGTTATGATAGCAAGTCCGCCACCATAGAGCCAAGCCCGAGAACAACAAGGACATGCCAAAAAAACTAAGACTAATGCAATGTATGTGGGTCTATAGCTGGTGGCGACCCTATATAGTATAGGCGAGGACATAACCCAACCGGCTTAAAAAAGTGTATAGGAAATATAATACTGTTTTCTTCGTGTACTAACTAGCTTAAATCACCGATATTTATTTTTTATTCCAGGACCATCGTACTGGTTATCATCCTGTTCCTGGTGGAGTACGACAGAAGCGTGCAGTGCGTGAAGCTGCTGTGGAGCCTCGTCGTGGGGTACCTGGCGATCCTGATACTCTCCATGGCCATAGAAATATGCGTCTGCGCAGTGGCCATGCGTGGAAGCATTCTAGACACAGGAAAAAGAGCCTCCATGCAGTATATACTCTACCTCAGATTAAGTAAGTCCCCTGGAGTTATGCTTCTATCCAATGATGAAAAAATTCTAGGATTAATATAAACGGTTTTGTATCTCTTACCATACATTAGATGTCAATGGAACTTGGGACACATCGTATATTACAGATCACAGCACTATTTATTACAGCTTATATTACGATTTACCCTCCAGTAGATTTAAAATGGTTTTTCCCGCACTTTCAGAAAAGTGTCTAGGTACTTAATTTTTAAGGGATTACTTTAATTCCGAGGGATTACTTTTAATACCCTTACAAAAAAAAGCGAAGTACATTTCAATCACGTGAATTTTTTTTGATTTTGTATATTTTCAGATCCTGATCATCTTTTCCTTGGAAATTCTCACGAATCATGAAAACTTATGGCTGTAAACGTTTGTTATGTAGGAAAAATCCTGGTAGGAATTATATTGGTTTCAATTCCGAGGGATTAACTTTGATCCACCAGGGATTACTTTTAATTCCGAGGAATTACCATTAAATCTCGAGAGATTATTCTAATCCCGAGGGATTACTTTTAAAGTTAAAGGATTACTTTTAATCTCTACAGAAAACTAACAAAATACATTTTAATTATAGGGAATTGCCATATTCATACATCTTGACATCGATTTTGGGTACTTTCATATTCTGAGAATTTTTCCTAGGAAATTCTCACGACTAATGAAAATTTATGACAGAAAAATTAGTATGTTTAGGAAAAACTAGAAAAGATATTGCATTTAATTCTACGGGATTAATTCGAATTTCAGTGAGATTATTTTTAATTCCTCAGATATTACTTTTAATTCCACAGGGATACTTTTAATCCCGAGGATTACCTTTAATTCCGATTGATTTCAATCACGAGGGATTATATTAATTCAATCCCGAGTTATTACTTTTAAAGCTGAGGCATTGCTTTTAATCACACGAAATTGACAAATTCCTATATTTTAATGTTTTTTCTCGATTTTGGGTACTTTTATATTCTGAGAATTTTTCATTAGAAATTCTCATGACTATTTAAATATTTTTTTTTATCTATGAAAAATAAGGAAAGGTATGTTTTTAATCCCTATTTTATTTACGAGCGATTACTTTTAATCTTGATTGCTTTGAATCCCGAGGGATTAGTTTTAAAGCAGCGGGATTACTTTTAATTAGATGGAATTGCTACATTCCTATACATATTTTAATGAGTTTTCTTTGGGGCACATATATTCTAGGAATTTTTCCTTGGAAATTCTCGTGACTAGTAAATATTTTTTTGTCTATGAAAAATAGGGAAAGGTATTGCTTTTAATCCCCAGGGATTACTTTTATTCACGAGCGATTACTTTTAATCCCGATTACTTTGAATCCCGAGGGATTAATTTTAAAGCACGGGATTACTTTTAATTATATGGAATTGCTTCATTCCTATATTTTAATGGATTTTTTCTTCGATTTCGGGCACATATATTCTACGAATTTTTCCTTGGAAATTCTCACGGCGTAAACATTTATTTATGTCTAGGAAAAATCGGAGAAGGTATTAGTTTTCATTCCGAAAGATTAGGGATTACTTTTAATTCCGAAGAATCATATTTCTAGTCCCTCTGTTAAAAACAGACGAAAAACCTTTTTGCCTACGTGATTAAAGGATGAATTTCAGAAAATAATTCTACCACAGACTAATTCTAGATTGATTATATAAATTGATACGAAAAAACAACGCTCCCAAGACTAAATTCATCTTTCGGCTTCAAATTACATTACCCTTATGATTTATTACAACCAACAGATGACTTATGGGTTTACTTCGAAACATTTTTAAAATATTAGTCCATCCGTCCTGATTTCCGATATGTACCTCTTCCCTGTTATCAATCTAATATGTTTACCAGTCCTTGACAAAGGGCGCCTAATATTTTTCCGTTTGATCGCGTAGTTGTGACAGGATCTTGATTTATTACGCCATACCAGTTTTGTTTGTAACAGCTATCACATTATCCTTCCGATCACATCAAAACTATCAACATACGAAAGTGCATTTAGAAGAGGCCATCAATTCAGATATGTAACCACTGCACCGCATTTTTTTTCCAGCTGTGATGATAATAGAAGCCGGGTGGCTGTCAGCTGGGATAGCCTGGCTGGTGAATTATTACGTAGACTGTCCCATAGAAAAAGCCAAAGAAACTGTGTTAGGTAAGTAGAACTTCGCGCGACCTCTCTCCAAAGACCAGTTCGTATCTTTGCCCGTCAGGTATGGTAATTTTTAATTGGTGCGTCCTCTTGTCCGTTCTTATAACCGTCTGGTGTACGTACGACACCGCTGGGAGGTCATGGGTGAAGATGAAGCAATATCAGAGGTCGATGAGGGAGTCTGAATCGAAGTTTCAGTACAAGAGATCGGGGAGTACCAGAAACTGGAGGCAGAGGTTAGTGAACTGAACTGCAGTGCCAAAATAGTAGACTGTGACGGGTTGAGGCATGAGATTGCGATTCCATGGACGTATCATTTTAAAGGGTTCCAAAAATTGTTGTCTCTGATTGTTGTATTTACAAAGGTCAACGCCAACTGAGATACAGACCTCTTATTGCCTACTATTTTGGCCCTGAAGTATGGGGAATTGTTCTGCCATTTGGGCGAAGCAAAACAGGGAAGTACAAAACAATAACAGCAAGGGTTCAGAAATATAAAAATGTAAAGAGGTTTGTTGTCTCCTTCGCAGTTTTACTTTTGGGCCCAATTTTTTTAATCTGACAACTAGGGAATTAAAATAACAGGGGCAAAGGGAAACCTGGATCAAGAAAATACTCATAATCTTAGTTTTTGATGATAACTTTTAACTAATAGAATTAGTGCACGATTTTGAGGCTATTTGCCATGTCGTAGGTTAAAAGTACTGTACAGGGTTAGACACTATAATCTGACAACTTATTATGAGTTTATTATTGAAATTACAAAACAGTTTTTAATACAAAAGTTTTTGTTTTTTTCATTAATTTTTATTACACAGTATTAGAAAAAAAACAATTGAATAATGGAAATCACTAAATTAAAGAATTTTTTTTAGTGAATCATCCTATATATTAGTGCATACTTAGCTTCGCTAAATTTTTCTTTTTTCAAAAATGTACAATACCTATGTTACTGTTTGATTCAGGACTTTTCAACATATTGCAGTATAAAACTATTCTTGAAACAACAGGAAGAAAATTTATGTGTAACGGATCGCAGTGGCTATGGACGAGGCACGTGGAACAAATAAATGACTTTGACAGAAGTTTATTTATCATCATTAATTTATTTTCTATAACAAACCATTTCAACAAAGAAATAATGTTGACTAACCCTGTATAAGTCTTCTGATGAAGGGTGCGATTTAGGTCTCGAAACGTCTAAATCTTTATACCGATGACGTGGCAATCTACCTGAAAATCATTGAGCCATTAACTACAAAGTACTAATTTAAATTGACCAATGCCAGTACTAGCTTTTAAGTTGAAAGCCTTGGAAGAGATCAGATACGGACTTGATCGCCACTGTCAATTTCCAAAGGGAAATAATGCATGATTGTACTTATAATTAGTCATAAAAATAACTAATGGGGGATGCACTTTGTCGACTATTTATAATTTTCAAATATCAATTACTGATTTGTTGTGTATCTTAAGACATTTGTCCTATTATAAAAAATTATGTCCTTATTTTTATTTTCAGCACGATTTCGCGACGTCTTCAGGGGTAGGCATTTCGTATGTAGAAAATAAACACACAACACATATCTCCTCGTATCATCCAAAATAAACTACTTTCTGTCAACTATTAACATGTTTCCCAAACACACTTTCTCGGGTTGCAATTCTCGAACACATTAGCAGCACTAACGATTAACTAAAAATTTGGTCATTGTGAGGGAATGGGGACGGTATATTATGATTTTACAACGTCGGTTTGTTAGTAGCTTGGAAGATGCGAGGACGTAGCTTTAAACTAACAATTTTATAGATACTGCTAATTAACCACCTCTTAAACAAGTTTTTTTAATGCTTCCATTAAACACGACTCTTAATTAACAAAGCTGTAGCGCGACTAAAATTCCTGCTTTTCTAATATTACCTTATGGGATATTTGAACGCGGTAGTACACTTAAATGAAAAATTTAAACTGCGCAAAACTTAAATATTTTACTTAATCAAAAATTCGACTGCTGCAAAAAATTATTCATAGAAACTACTGTGGAAATCACGGTAAATCTAGTAAATATGTACATATGTATATAACATTTATTAAAATGCATGTGAAGTTAGCCACATCTACAAAGTATGTAATTTTGATTGCAAGCATAATAAATTTGCACAATAGGTATCACAAATATTTAACAACTGATTAATTAGTACTTACTCAGTCAGGTGCCAAGTATAATACATAACTATACAGTGATCAAGTACTTTGAATAAGTATCTCTGAAGTACTTATGAAGATATGTTATTGTTACTGAACATCTATTATTTTTACTAAGTATCAACATTGTAGTACTTAGCAGTATTGATCTAATGTATGAATGAGCACATGAATTGACTGCATTGAAGTAAACTAAATTACTAAATGATTTGAGAACATGATCCAAAAACTGAAAATACAGTACTAAGCATATAAAAAAATATGAAATAACACTATCTACATTACTATACATTGCACTTAATAATTGAAGTCTATTACTGAGCCATTTAAACTAATAATTGATATTATTCAAAGTATGGTACATAATTGGCAAGTAGTCGGTTTGAAAACTTTAAAACAAATCGCACAGCTTCAGGCACAATCACCCAGTCAATAACGTTCAATGATTATTTAATTTTAATGTTTTTCTCGCGTTATGTAAGGACTAGAAAATAAAAATTAACAAAATCGACGATCTAAGTTTCAAAGCAATATAAATATAATAATAAATTGTTGCAAGATTAAGACAGCCAAGTAGTAGTAGTAGTAGTGCAGGGGCGGCCTCAGCCTGGCAATTAGGCCACAAATGGGCCCTTTTTACCTACCCCGCCGTCCCATCACCTAACCACGCCTATGACCCTCCTCGAACCTACCCGACGCCCTAATGAACGCCAGGATTTTGGTCCATGGAAGGTCTCTCACCTCAACCCATTGCAACTCTTCAGCACCAAAGACTTTATGTCTTATTCTCCCAAAGACTGCACAATGTCCCAGAAGGTGGAGAGGGGTGTCCTCCCTTCTCCACATTTCGGGCATAGAGGGTCCTTCTCAATTCCTATTAAACTTAAATGCCTCCTAAGTCTGCAGTGACCTGTCAGAACCCCCATCATTTGGTTTAGGGCTCTTCGACTACGGCTCAGCAGCCATCTCGTCTTGGATATGTTAGGTCCATGTATAAAACTATGGGCCTGCCTACCTCCTCTATTTCTCCTCCAATTCTGACCTTAAGTTTGATAGGCTCATTTATTGAGGGCCCCATTAATGCTGCCTCGTGTGATACCGAAGATTGGTTCAGGTCCCTGGCCAGATCCCCTGGACCCGAGACGAGCAAGTTGATCCGCCCTCTCGTTACCAGGGATACCCATATGGCCTGGGACCCAAACCAACTCTACCCCTCTTCGTCTGGCCAATAACTCTAGAGCGTCTCCACATTCCTGGACAATGGCAGACTTCGTCGATTCTAGTCCTATCGGTAAATATAGACGAAGTCGTCATCATAAAATGGTACCTTCTCATTCTAAGATCACGACTTCGTCGATTCTAGTCTCATCGACGAATGTAGACGAAGTCGTCGTCATAGAATGGTAGCTTCTCATTCGAAGACCCCGACTTCATCGATTCTAGTCCTATCGGCAAATGTAGACGAACTTGTCGTCTTAAAACCGAAACTTCTTTTTCTAAGACCACGACTTCATCGATTCTAGTCCTACCGACGATCGTAGACGTTGCTAACTTCACACCCCTCGCATTAACCGTATTATAATCCAAAAACATATAAACTTTTGTTTTGTCACTTTCACAGCACAATAACTTCAAAACGACCTCGGCCTCGATTTGACTAACACCCGCTTTGTTTTAGGAAAGTCCTTCGGGCTTACCAGGACAGCTGGCACAACAGATGCCGCTTCCTCTTCTGCTGCTCGACGGCCAGCGATAGGAACCGGAACTCCTTCGCGGACATAGCCAGGTTGCTGTCCGACTTCTTCAGAGACCTGGACGTCGTGCCGTCCGACGTGGTGGTCGGTTTGGTTCTGCTGAGGAAATTCCAGAAGATCGAACAGAAAGCCATCGTGGACCAGGTGAGTTTCCGCAGCGAATTCGGAACATGAAAAAGTGTTCCTCAAGGCACAGAGAAGGGGCCGGTACACCGATTTTTGTTTTCAGCGCAAAAACGACACTTACGAGTTCCTCTCTGGAGTTGCCATAACTCCCAGGACACAGTTTCTGTCGCTACACGAGGACGGTTCCGACCTGGAACTGTTCCAGACGGTGATACATTTCGCCCACTTCGCCGTGCGGGCGTATGGGTGGCCCATCTACGTCTTGACGGAGTCGATGGGGTTGTGCCACTTGTGCACAGGCGTCAGGTAAGGGAGAAGTATAGAACAACTCAAATAAGAAACTAAAATTATTAAATATACAGAGTAGAACTAAGTGGGGGGTCAGTTTTTCGGAGATACATGTTCGCTTGAACACTAATTTGAAATTCTTTTTTTTTTCTTAATTAAATCAGTATCAGTTACTTAAGTTCAGTTCACTGGGCGACATAAATGGTTTAAATTTAAGCAGAATCCGATCTTGATCCGAACGCTTACGAAAGTCAACGGAGGCTAGCCTCCGCAATTCAGGTTGTATGAGGAGCTAGCCTCTAGTGTATTTTTGGTGACCTGTATGAAAATAGGAGCAGAATTTTGACTTAACTGTGTTGAGGCATGTTTGGACAGCAAAGGAGAAAAATTGAGAAAACAAACCTTCGATATGTGTTTCTAAAAGTCGAAAGTAGCTCTCTGTATAAATAGAAGCCTCATTCTACACTTGCAACTGAGCTAAAATCTCACGACCAAGACATTCTTCCAGGTGCTGCTGTTGTTTCCCGTGCAGAAAACCCACCAGCGAGGGCGGCAATCCTGAAATCGTGGAGGACAACTGTTGCCAGTGCAACTACGCCGCTCTGGACAAGCTCACCGACTACGGTGACATAGAAATCATCTACGCGACTTACCACGTAGACATAGGGCAGACGCCCTTCTTCGTAGCGCTCGATTTCGACAGGAAGAAGGTTGTGATTAGTGTTAGGGGAACGTTGTCCATGAAGGTACGTAATTTTTAGCAATCTCTGTACTAAAAGCGCAATTTTTACTTTTCTGTTGGAACGCCGTACTTCAACACGCACTTTAGTATTTTCGTTCTTAATTTTTTGGAACTAAAACCTGCCCTTTAATTTTAGTAATGCACTGAGACCGAGACATATTTATTTCTCAAACCACGGTCTGTTTTTGTAGGAAAGTAAAAATCGGCTCGTATCGTTATTAAATTTTTCATTGGCAATTATCTTCAGCTCGAGGTGAGGATTCCGGAATATCCGGTACGGGAACAATGGGGGCGAATTCGCTATTCGGGACGGGCCCCGTTAAAAGACTAGCGAATTAATTATCATCGTCTTAGGGTTCTCCTCTAAAGGAGGGGCTAGACGTCTGGCTCTTTCCAGGCACAGAAAAGAGCGACTTGGCATAATTAGATGCTTAAAATTTGCATCACAACCGGCGGATTAAGCTATATTGGATTGTATTAACGAAGGGAGAATGTACAAATTGAACAGAAACGCCAACACTGTGAAGGTGTAAACCTTTATAGGATTTTCAAAGCAATGACATCGATATACACGTTGAACTTTAGGTTTATGATAGTAGACAGTGATTTACTCCTAACATTTAGACCGTGTGACGGGTAACGTGCAGTAAAACGATTCCATAGACGTATCATTATAAAGGGTTCAAAAAATTAATAAATATAGAACAACAAATAGATACGCCCATTTTTAGTAAAAACTACATTCCTGTTACAAAATGTACACTCAACTTGATATATTCAACCGGTAGATAAATACTTTTTTTGTTTATACTAAAGCATATATTCAGCAATTGTAAGCAAAGATGGTTAGTGTACACTTTTTTCTTCTTTTCTTATTATGGGATGTAGCTAGCAAGTGGACAAGTGGTCTCATGACAGTTTGGCCACTAACAAACCTATACGATTCCATTTTCGACAACTCCTAACGTTGAAATAACTAAAATATAGAAATAATCAGTTTTCCAACTTGTACGCTTATGACACTCATTCTGGACACTGAGATTGGGCGGGAACTCAAGAATTCAAACCATCCAGCCTTAGTCGTCTCTCTTTTTGTATTTACACGATAATACTATGTGTATACTATGTATGTAAGTATTTTCCTTAAAATGGACGGTTAGAATGAGTAGCTCTACTAGATCTCGCCGCCACTTATATTACTGCATTTTTGTATAAATAATTGTTTTACATAAAAAATAAAGACATATTATTATTATTATAAGCGAAGAAAGAAATAGAATAGAATGCGCGTGCGCAGACTGAACGTATTATCGGAACACTATGCCAAATGAACAACACATTACAATTTTAATGCAGAGAACACATTATTATATCAGATATACCTGTAGAAATAGTAAAAATTGCGGTTTGATTAATTCACGACTCACTGTCTACCATTTTGGACATGGAATGTAGTTTCCCTTGTTTTCAGGATATTTTGACGGACCTGAACGCGGAGGGCGAGACCCTCCCTCTAAATCCACCCCGAGAGGACTGGTTGGGGCACAAGGGGATGGTGCAAGCGGCGCAATACATCCTCGAGAAGATAGATGAGGAAAGGCTGGTCGAACGGGCGAGGGACCACAAACCCGATCGGGGAACCACAGACTTCGAAATAGTGATAGTCGGTCACTCTTTAGGTGAGTTTAAATTATCTGAGGGGTATTTGGGATGGAAAATTATGTTATAAATGATGATTTGATAATTCGGGATATGCTACAACGTTATAAATTGTGGGTAATTGGCAAATTCTGATAGTTGTCGCCAGTGACACGAAATCCAAGGGAAGGGGGGCTATTTAAAATATCAGGTCTAAAGTCCGTGAGTAAATCGTATTTGGCGTAAAAACTAGGGACTGAAGTATCTGCTGATAAATGCAAATATAAACAATTTTATTTACAATTAGTGGAAGTTAACCGGAAAACTACACAAAAAAGTTGAACTTGCTAACACATACAACTTTTGACATTGCAAGTTTTAAATAGGACCATTAGACTTTCTGATATAAAATAGAATGCACAAACTGAAATTTCAGGACTTTTAACATATTTAATTTCTATAAAACGCCAGCAGGAAATGCCCTCTGTTTTGTCGCCAGTCCTAAATAATCTCTCCTTCTCGAATTCAATTGTATTTTGATATTAATTTTTTAGTTATCGGTAAAAAAACTGCTTGTATTCTTTATTTCTGTCATTGTTGTATAAAACTATATTTCTACAAATATGTTTATTTTTTCATCACGTCAGGTAAAAACAAAGTACGCACCTGGAATGTACGATTTACTGCCGGACCTTGGAACAAAACATACTTTTTATTTTTATACATTGTATTTGATCCTTTCTTTTATATTTAAATTATGTTGTGCCTTAAGTTAACTATTCCCGAACCCCTGGAGGAGCTTCCCCCTTGCTCCCGCCCCCTCCAACGCGACACTGATTGTAATAGTACGTCATACCTGACACGTTCAATCCAGTGGCGGGGCACAAAATAAGCTAGAAACACTAACGTACAAAAATTTAAGAAAGCTTGATATTTTAGGTGCGGGAACAGCCAGCATTCTGGGTATACTGATGAGGCAGAGGTATCCCACCCTCCAGTGCTTCTGTTACTCCCCACCCGGAGGCCTGCTGTCAGCGCCTGCCGTGGAATACACTAAGGAATTTACAGTCTCCGTGGTCATTGGAAAGGACGTGGTACCTAGGATAGGACTGCACCAGATGGAGACGTTGCGGACTGACCTTATAAACGCCATAAAGAGGAGCGTTGATCCCAAGGTAAAATCAAATGTTCTCAATTTTAAAGAATAAACGTTCGCAATCTAAACCCTCGCGATACTTTCAGTGGAAAACCATCACTTGTAGCGTCCTCTGCTGCGGCTGTTCCCAACCTACATCGGCGGTGGAACTCTCCACCGGCGAGCAAGACGTCACCGAGTACATGCGCAGCAAAGAGAACGCGAGGCACATGGGTATCCACCCATCGGACAGTACCATAGCCTTGACTAGTCACCAACCCCTCTTTCCCCCTGGAAGAATTGTGCACATAGTAAGGCACCATCCAACTAGTGGACAGTAAGTAGTTGCCTGTGTTTGCGCCACTGGCGTAGCGGTTGAGAAAGCTTAAAGAAAGGCGAATTAATAGTGAAAATTAAATCTCAATTTCGTTAATAGTTTTTACAAGAGTTTTACACATTCACATATTTATAAATTTGCAAATATGTATAGTCTTTCCGATCTCAATTGAAGACCAAACAGCTAGGCGGTATGTACCAGGTTCGGTCGCTACACAGCAACTCGGCATTGAAATATTTGAAAAACTTGTTCCCATATTTATTTAGCCATACCCATATATAAGTCTGGTCGCCCAGTTGAAGGCGCGCGGGACTAAACGGCGAACAAACACAGCCGCACTGGGCAACTGGGCCATAAATTTCAGTTGTTGACAAATTGCCTAGCAGTGCAGTGCAGCAATGCGGAATTTGGTGTGATTCAGGTAATTTTAATTTATTATAGGCACCTTCTATTAATCATTCATATTACAATTGCGAAAGGGAGAAATAAGAGGCATATTTTGTATACTAATATTATTATATTATTATAACATGGCATTTTGGAGACCTTTTGAAAAGGAACAAAATGAAATACCGCCTGACAATATTGAATTAGTTGAACCGGTTGTTGATGGAACAGATTTAGAATTTAAAAATAAAGATTTACATGTTCAATGTCAACGTCTCATTTTAAATATTTACGAGTGTGTAAAAAAGGAAGAAAATGAAAAATCAGATAATGAAATTATAAATAGAATTCACATTTTAACTAAAGTTTCAGTGTCCATAATTTTTCGTGTTATTAAGGGCGCCATATTCTTTAAATCGTGTTATCCACAAATACAAATAATTTCAAACATTTAATAACTGAATAATCTAAAGCTTATCAAATAATAGGAATGTTATGTCATGCCATCTGGGTATTTTCAAAGACGCCGCAGTAAAACGAATAAACAGGTGCAAAAAACGATCAAACCATCAAGGTTCTAGGTACTGAAATCTACGAAAATACTAACTTTTTTATATACAAATCCACATGTAAATATACTTATAACATTTCCTTGCTTAGTCCTACATATAAAATTGTTTACTTTTATTTATAAGTACGTGAAAATAATTCTTAAAATGTGGGGTTAGGATAACAGCAAACGCATGTTTTACAAACGCTTTTTTTTAATTATTATTTTATTTGAGTAAAATTAAATAGTAACAATGAATAAACAAAACATCAAGGATTTTATTTTTGTGCTTACTTTTGTTTTACTTTTCAAGATTTCAGTACCTAAAAACGAAAAAAATTTGACTATTTCTCGGCCAGAGGTATGGCCACCTTAAACAAGGTGTTATTATTGCGTAAAGAAGAAGCGAAAACAAAAATTTTAAAATATCGATGACATGACGAGAGACACAATTCAGCGGACAATTTATAATGTATATAAAGAAAATTGATGATATAAATAATTAAAATATGTTGGTAGCCAAATGAACATTAATAAAAATTTTCTACACATGATATACAAATTTTATTATTTTTAAATTAATTTGCTAGGCGTTTTTATACATATTCAACTGACTTCGGAAAGACTACCATTCACGTAACATTAATATTTTATACAGAGTGGAAGGTTTAACTGTAACTTAATAAAAGTTTGTTGCAAAATTCCTGAAACGTCAATTTTATTTTCAATGGGGCATATTACAAAGAGGTTTGTCTATTATTTTAATTATGTTCAGGATTGAGCAACCCCCAACCTTTTTTTTAAATGGAAGGATAGGGAAGGGTAGGTCGATTATTTTTTATTTAAAAGCTTCAATTCCAAATACAATTACATATTTTTTTTTGTTACTTTTTATAAGCAATATGTCGGAAAAAATAAAATAAGGAAATGTTTACTGAAACTAGGTACTTTAATGCAAAAATTGTTTAAAGTGTGTCTTCCACATTGTTGCTGACAATATCCTAATCGATAATAAAAAGCATTCCAAACATTTTGTTTGGCGTTACTTGTTTAATTTCATCCCTGCTTCTTTGTCGAAGCTCGACGATGTCGTTAGGTTTAGTAGCATAAACCTTGCTTTTTAGATATCCCCATAAAAAAAATCTAATGGGGTAAGATCGGGCGATCTTGCTGACCATTCAATTGGGCAACTTTTTCCAATTCACCTATTCGGAAACACATCGTTGAGATAAGTCCGTACATTTTCAGTAAGATGTGGTGGTGCCTCATCTTTTTGAAACCATATCCGTTGGTCAAATAAATCGGGATTATTGGGGATTAAAACCGCTAAAGCAGGAACCAGTTCGTCTTGGAGTATAGTTAGGTGTTTGTCAGGAATTTTGCGATTAACTTTTATTTATTAAGTTACAGAATTTGTTCCAGTTAAACTTGCCACTCTGCATGTATGCAGGGTGATACAACTGGTCGACTGTATTGAGGTGGGAACTCGAAATCTACCGAGCAATGGCGCGGCAACAAGCCAAATTTAACAGTAAAGTACAATTTCATGGCAAAATTTATTATCTAAATTTAATATTAGTACAAGAAATTCATGAAATAATGCCAATTTCTTTTGTATTAACCGAGACATGTAAATGTATTTTTTTTTTGAATAAGTTCTGAATCTGAATAAATAAACTATATTTTACATAGTCTCTAATTCTTGTAAAAATTATTATTCGTACATGATTTTCTAATGAATATGTTGATTAAACTCTTATTGCGTATACTATGTGTGTCAAAAAAAGCATAATCAACTTCGGTGTTAATAGTTAGTACTAGCCATATTGTTTATTAGTTAAAGTGTTGAGAGATAACGTTAATTCGGTGATCTTAAAAAATTAATTTCAATGCACCCAGTATTATACATGGTGTCCTATAAAATGGTACATCCATATAAATTTAAAATATTGTTTTTGTAATAATTGAGGTGCTATAACATTTTTTTTCTCAAAGTCGTTAGATTAAAAAAAATCATGTGACACAATTTGAGTTTAATCAACCGTTAATACTAACGAAACTAACAATAAATTTTAACAATTTCAGACAAAAGTATGAAAAAAGATGGAGGTAATACTAACACATTACTAACCTTTTGAAATGCATGATTAGCAGAGAACAGGAAAGAAAATTGCTGCATTTGTAACAATCACAACTTAATATCTGATATTTTTGACAAAAAAGTCAAAAATTAATTGTTTCTCAAAAAAGATTATTTAAAAACATTTAATTTTTATTGCTTGTTATATTTAAAATTTATAAAAATAATATAGTACAGGGTGTCCATAATAATTCCATAAGCCAAACTTTACCTGATGACGTTTTTTTTTATTATCTTCAAAACCCCTAAAGCTATTATTGAAAATTACGTTGAATTTGGATCACCCTGAACAAAAATATCAAAAATCAAATAATTCCATGTTCTCTATTAATGTCAGGCATGTCAACCATTAAATCCAGAAAATACGTGATCAGTAGATTTACAAAAAAAAAAATGTGTAACGCAGAAACTACAAAAAATGTCATTCCACTACCTTTCATAACATCTGCCCTGAGCGTGTCATGTGCGGCGAATGACGAAACGTCTAGACTCTAGATCGCTTCCAGACATTCCAAATTGCATATTTTTTAATATACAGGGTGATTCACAAATGATGACCAAAAATGAAACCTTGTATTTTTTAGTGATTTTAAGAGGAGTCTTTCCTATAAAGTTTTTATCTAGGACGCTTCGTTAAAAAAATACAGGGTGTTAAACTTCAAAAAATATTTTTAATTTTTTTAAATAATTTAAAAACTGGTAAGTGAAATAATTTGAAATGGAGCACAAGTATTTGTGTAAATATTGTCCAAAATCTGAGAGCTTTTCCTAAAATTTACGTTCTCCAGTGGCGGAGATACAGGGTATCGGTGGCATATCTTTCTAAATAAAATAGTACGCCACTGCTTTACGGTAACAACCATGATATTTTCGGATTCATTTTTCAATTTTCTACAAATTACTACTCTCTTATGTTTTTCGAAAAAAAGCATAATTTTCGAGTAAAACTTAAAAAACGAACTGAATACACTTTTACTTATATGATACGACAAACACCTTTTTAACGAATCGTCCTGGGTAAAAACTTTATAGGAAATACTTACCTTAACATTCACCAAAGAATGCGAGGTTTCATTTTTGGTCACCATTTGTTGATCACCCTGTATATTAATATACGAAACCCAAACCAAACCGTATGCCCAGTGTGAAGTCCGCATGAAAAAAAAATGCACCATGTGTCCCGTATTTTTTTATACTTTTGTGGTGTCCTAGTGTGGTAGTAGATTGCCTCGTGGTATACCAGCCCCTATAAATGCACTGTAGGTCACTAAAGTTATATTTTTGATTTTTTTGTGTCGCATCAGGTAAGATTTTTTGAAAGCCCGAGGACGAAACCGATGCATGCCATTTTGCAGTGCGTTTTTGAGATGCTACATTGAAATTTTTGTGGCGTAGATGTAGTACTGTAGTTTAGGCCAATTTTTTAAACTTTGACGTGACCCATTGTGCATTTGTAAAGTTATCTATGTTATGTAGAAGTATACAGGGTCAATTTTAAATATGCACATATATTTGTAAGACGTAAATAATTACGCAGGTGAGTGTTTACCGCAACGCTCACCTCGAAAATCACGTGAACAATTGAATTCTATGAAGATATAGACTTTTCGTTTTTAAAAAAGCTTATTTGCTTAACTTTTTTCTTCCTATATCATACAAAAGTTTAATTTAATAGTAAAGATTTCTGTGTAACATCGGCAACATTGCATAATTGATCTACGTTGTGCGTAAATACCACAGTGGTTCCAAACAAGTTTTTTTTATTAAAAGTTAAATTGTATTCCTATTTTTTCCAACAAAACTCTCTCAATTGCTTAATATATGTACACATTCAAAATTTACCGTGGTAATAAAATTGTATCTAAAAAATCAACAAAAATTGCTAAGTAAAGAACCCAAAAAAAACATGGCACTATATGTCTGTTCGCCAATTGTTCTCTTATTTTTTTTAGACAAGCGCTGAACAAGAAAGACCCCGTATACCAAGCCCTGTGGGCTTCGAACATAGACTTCGACGAGGTTCTTATTTCTCCAGTGATGATCCAGGACCACATGCCGGACAGAGTCCTGGACGCTCTAAACAAGGTACGTGAGCATATCAGTCACACAAGGAATGATCCTGTTTATACAATTGAAGACGATATGGACTGAATAGTGTGCATGCATAGTTGTATATATAGATGCTATGTGTAACGCTTCGACAGATGCAACCGTCCTTATTGTATCCGTAGTGAATATATTCATTGCACGAGGTCTAGTAAGTTTTTTTTTGACAAGTTTCACAGTGTGCAGGTGTATACTTTATTATTTTTGCTCTGTGGGGTAGGTCACTAAAAATTCTTATTATAAAACTACCCAAAATTAATTATTTTCGAGACAATTTAAAGATAAAGGTTTTAAAAGAGGCAAACGATTATGTTTTAATTTAAAATATTTTTAAACATGGTGTGAAAAAGTATTTTGTATTTTTTTAAATATGTTTTATTTTTAATTTACGCTTATTAAATATATGTATTATTTTTTCTAATTTACGCTCATTGTTATTTATTTTTATTCATACCTAATAACTGTTATGTAAAATGCTCGTCCTTTAACAGCAACTTGAATGCTTATTTTTATTTTTGTAATAGTTTTTTTTTTTGGTATCTGCTGTGATTAAATAATTTCATTAAATGTTGTATTATATATATAATTTTTTTACCCGCTTCTATTTACCCTTGGCTCCTTAACATACTCCAAATTACTATCAATATCCTGTATATAAAAAAAAACAAATACCGTTTTGCTGTAAGAAGCTTTTATAGTGACATCCGCTAGATACATAATGATTATCAACTGTATCGGTAATTTTAACAACGATAAAGGGTGTTAAAAAATAGAGCGTGAAACTTTGCGGATTCTCGAGATAAGGAAAAGATAAATTGTGTTTCAATTTACCCTTAAAAAGCTTTTCAAATGTCATTTCCACACACTTTTCCATTATTTTGAATAGAATTATCTGCCCCTGAAGTTTTAACGCCCTGTATTTATAGCTTCGGCGCCTGTATAAGAATTTTTCAATAGGTAAGTAATTATTTCACAGAAATACGCATTAACTTCAGTATCTGTTCATTCATCAACTGGTCAATCACAAAAATCATGTATCACAATCACAAGGGTTTCATGCTTTTTAATAACATTTCTTTTACGGATTGTTAATGTAAATATTTAGTAAAACAGTTAAAAGGTTTACATATAATAGAGTGCGTCAGTAAAGTGTCCATCTCTATACAATTTTTGCCAAACGTTCACTTTCATTGCACAAAAAATATGATTCTAATATGTCTACTAATTCACGATTCATATAAATAGTTATATTTCACTTGAACGCACTATTTCACTAAAAATATTAATTCAATACACTTAAAGACACTTAAAAGACAAACACCGTCCGCGAAAATAACAAATCCACACATATACATCAAGGTTGTGTTGCCCTTACTGTCCGAGAAACGTGATCGTAGAGTTCGGAGATAAGCGGCTCTTAACAGTACCGGCCTGATGCAAATATGAATATGTTCACATAAATTATAGTCTTTCCGAAGTCAGTTGAACGTGTATAAAAACGCCTAGCAATAAACAGTGTAATAATTTTAGTAAACAAAATATCCCTCTTATTTCTGCCTTTTGCAATTATTATTGTAATATGAATGATTAATAGAAGGTGCCTATAATAAATTAAAATTACCTGAATCACACTAAATTCCGCATTGCTGCACTGCACTGCTAGGCAATTTGTCGACAACTGAAATTTATGGCCGGTCGCCCAGTCCGGCTGTGTTTGTTCGCCGTTTGCCCGAGCGCGCATTCTTCAACTGGGCGACCAGACTTGTATGGCTGAATAAATATGGGAACAAATTTTTCAAATATTTCAATGCCGAGTTGTTGCGTAGTGGCCGAACCTGGTACATATCGCCCAGCTCATTGGTCTTCAATCGAGATCGGAAAGACTATACGTCTCAATACAATAGTATTAATGCTAAATAGTACTAAATATGTAAAAGTGAAAACACTACAAAGTTCTATAAAGTCTAAAATGTCGTTACATGTTTTGTTAAGTTTCTGCTACGAAAATTATTTATATTTGGTGATGATATAGAATCTACGTCAAAGTTTCCTGACTTTTTAATGAATTTGTTCGACACTTTACTTACGCACTGTACCTTTTCAATTATGACATTTGTAGAATAAAAAAAACTTAATGCTACCACAAACGCAACTTTGCAGTTTGTTGCCAATCAAGAACCATATCAGGAGAGGGTAAATTCCTCCTTTCTTTGAGAAAACAGTATTGGATTAGGCGGGCTTTGGGTGCTCCAGCACCTAGAGTAAAATTATTGTGGGTGCCGAACGAAATGTCCTACCTCAATCCCAACTTAACTTTAATGCTCGTCTTGTGAGGTTAAACATTATAGATTTCAATATGTAAATTTATAAAAATCCTAACTTAGTCCTAGTAGCCTAACAAAGTCTTAAGATCTGACCTTGAAAGTTCCCGACTTCTTTCTAAGATAAAGACCAGAACACAACTAGCACGCATGCGCAAAGACTTTTTAACGCTGACATGTCGCTGGCCAGTACTTAAAGTTTATTATTTATTAAATAAGTAAAGTGCTAGTTTTCTGGTACACTTATAACAACTTTTCTGAAAATTTATTGGCCCAAAGAAAGATGTTTACAAGGTATGAGCTGTTATGTTGAAATATCTTGTTTTGGCGCTTATTTCTTTTTTTATCAAACAAAATTTATTTTATACAAAATCATGCCTTCTCTAACAAACTATAATATTTTCTAGTTATTTTTGAGACTTGGTTCAGTTCCACAAGCGGTTTAACTACGATCTGTTGACATACGACTATTGAAATTGCACTCCCTTGAAGTTTAATTCTGAGTTTAATTTTTGTAGCTCAATTGCAATAATATTGGCGGGGCAATTGCCCCCCCCCCCTTGCCACCCTCAATCCCGCCTATGTTAGTAAATAGAAAACTCGATACTAACAGCATTACATAACAATTTTTTACTTCGCGATGTGTCATCATAACTAACCTTTTTTCGGTTAAGTCTATTTTTTCAAATTTGGTTCAATTATTACTATAGTCTGTTTGGAAATGAAAGAGAGTAATAAAACCACGAGATAAGAATCGGCCATGGGCGTGGTAATATTTCGTTTCAGGTAATTATCGAGTAACTCTAATGCTAACAAATATGATTGGGATTGGAAAATCGACTATCTACAGACATTTAAAGAAAACAAAAAATGAACAAGACACTGTAAATCCCCCAAAATCATCTACAGGGAGGCCAAAAGTCGTTGTAGATGATTTCTTCACAAATGTCATTCGCAGAAAAGTACACTCATTTTATTTTAAAAAAGAAATGCCAACGCTAAACAAAATTTTAAGTGAACTTTCAGAGGACAACGATTTGCCAAAAATCAGTAGAAGCAAATTATGGGCCGTCTTACGAGAGGTGAATTTTTGCTGGGAAAAGCAGAACAGGAAGTCAGTTCTTATCGATAAAGATGAAATTATTTGTTGGCGAAGATCCTACTTAAGATCAATTAGAAAATTCCGTGACGAAGGGAGGAATATTTATTATCTAGACGAAACTTGGGTCAACGAGGGATATACTGTAACAAAAGTATGGCAAGATAAAAATGTAAAAAGTTTTCGACAAGCATTTTTGGATGGACTTTCAACAGGGTTCAAGGCACCTTCAGGTAAAGGGCGAAGATTAATAGTGACACATATAGGTAGTGCCAGTCGTTTTGTAGATGGCGGTTTACTTTTATTTGAATCTAAAAATACACGTGACTATCACGAAGACATGAACGCAGATGTTTTCGAAGAGTATTTTACACAGATGTTGGATCTTATTCCTCCGGGGTCTGTAGTTGTCATGGATAATGCCAGTTACCATTTACGGCAGACCGAGCGGACGCCTACGACTGCTTGGAGGAAAGCCGATATAATTCAATGGTTATCCGAAAAAAACATTTCTTTTGAAACAAATATGGTGAAAAAGGAACTTTTGACACTTGTCAATCTTAATAAAGATTAGAAAAAATATGTTATCGATGAAATGGCAACAAATCGCCAAATAACGGTACTACGGTTACCACCTTATCACTGTGAACTTAACCCAATCGAATTAGTCTGGGCGCAGGTAAAAAGAGATGTAGCGCGAAATAATACGACGTTTAAATTAAGTGACGTGAAAATTTTGTTAAAAAATTCCTTGGAACGAGTAACTGCAGATAACTGGCAAAGATGTATACATCATGTACAAAAAGAAGAGGAGAAAATGTGGGAACTCGATAATTTAATTGACGTCTATTCATTAAATTTAAATAAATATTTTGATAATAATATTGAATAATTTTATTTGAATTACTAAAAACCTTCTTAACCCGGTTATGATGCTTAAAGTAGCCTCATGTTTTGAAATGCTGTTTTTATATTGCTTGCTTATAAGAGAAATGGACCGAGAAATTGAAGCAGCATAGACAAAGACGGATTGTGGGGGATTAAATTTTAGCTACCTGCTACAATTTAGTACAGTCCGATCGCACAAAGTTTTTTTAAAAGTACACCTCATCCTATACCGATAATACATAATATAAAAATATTGAATATAAGCACCAGTACTACATTTATTTACGATTTGCATACATAATAAGCTTTTATTACTCTCTTTCATTTCTAAACAGACTATAACAGCATTACATAACAATTTTTTACTTCGCGATATGTCATCATAACTAACCTTTTTTTAGTTAAGTCTATTTTTTCAATTTTGGTTCAATTATTACTAGTAACGAATTGACCCAATGATAAAAAAAAAACATGAAAGTTGTGTGGCTTTAAAATAAAATAAAATAAAATTGCTATTTTTTTTATTTGAATTTTTCTCAACTCAACCTAATAAAGTGTTATTATTATAAATCGATAGTATTACATTTAAGCGAAAAAAACGTATTTATGTATAAACATTAAATGCGTTTTTTTAAGTTTTTTGTTTCATTTGAGCACCCACATCAATTCAAAAGTTCCGGCGCCCATGCCCGTATTTAAACCGCCCCACTCCCCCCCCAGCCTCAAATATTTAACCGTTATTTTCCGTTTTGCAACCTGCACCCCCCCGCATGCGGTGTTTCTGTGATGCGTTGGTGTCTGATAGCAAGGTGTGTGTGGACAGGTGCAGCAAAAGACAGGCAGCAGAAGGCAGCACGGCTCGCAGAATAGGGGCTCGACCCCTATCGAAATGAAACCGCCGCCACGCGACACAAGGTACTGTATTATGTGTTGCCTTACGTTTTAATAAACAAAACCACACAGTCTATCCACAACACACAATCGACACGGTTCTACACACCTTTTCTTTATACCTCACAATAGACAAAAATGTCGTATTAGCATCATATGGATTTTTTTTGATATGCCTCCCAGTGACGTACAGAAAGAGACCCAGTTTTTTCCGTATAATGTGAAATTTTGCTTCCCAATTTAAGGAATAGGGAATTAATAGAGCTACAAATTGGTTAGTTCGAATACTGTTTATATGAAAATTAAATAAAAGTCAACACAATGCTAGTATTCAAGGAAAAAGTTTCAGCAACATTGTAACTATTTCTATTAGTCCAATC